AAAAACTAAAGAGATGTCAAATCGTAACAATCCAATGTACAGTTGTCAGTCAGGCGGAACGAACCTCAGTATAAGCACACTTTCTCCGAGGACAAGAGTAACTCACTCTGTGTTATTTGATACAGGTATTCTTGACAGCATTGAGCTGCGTCGAATTTCAATTGTATATATTCCTTAGAATTTGGCTACATATATCAGTAACTGTACTCCTTTGGATTTCATTTAGGCCTATATAATTTGCACACATCAATGACATTTTTTTTAGTATATTCACGGTTAAATAGCTTAGACATAAAGAATAGAATTTCATGATCAGAGCCAGTAGACAATACCATTATGCACAACGAGAAGTAAAGACAAATATCAATTATTACATTTGGAGATAACAAACTCAGAAAATCAATGAAAAGGTTTCTTCTACCTCTACTCACTGAAATAAAGATTTAGGAAAAAACAAATTGTTAAATGTATTCGGCCTAATGTCATTAATCAGAACGGAAATCGACAAGCTTTTCGTAGAGAAAAAACCAAGCCCTGTCCTATAGGTCAGATCCCTATTTATAATGAAGTGATCCTTTGGTAAATGTTTCATTTGTGTGGTAAATTGATTTACATTGTACATGTATGAAGAAACAAGGCAAGAAATTTTATGAATTTTTTAGGTCTGAAGACAGCTTTAGTAGAAAAGTTTGACTTTTCCTCGGGAACCAGTAGTCGAAGCACCAAGTTGATACATGGAGGGGTCCGGTATCTACAAAAGGCTGTATTTGGATTGGATATAGAACAGGTGGCACTTCTTAAGTGATTTTTTTTAATGAAGAGTTAATAGAAAAGTTTCTTTTTGTTTCATTTAAGTATATAATTTTGATACGTGAAAATAAGCCCCAAATTAATTTAGTATTTACTTTTGCTTTGTTTCTTTCAGTATCGAATGGTCAAAGAGGCACTTTCAGAAAGAGCAAATTTAATCCAGATTGCTCCTCATCTAGCATACCCATTTCCTATTATGCTGCCCATTTACAAGTTAGTCAAATTATTGATTACGAAGTTGTTGAGTATATTTTCTTACAAAGTGGTGATAGTTATGGATTATTAATGTATTTTACTTTTATACATGTTTAGAAGAACATTTAAAAAAGACAAGTTAAACTTTTGATCAGATACTGGCAGGTTCCCTACTTCTGGGCTGGAATTAAGATGTATGATGTGATAGCTGGAAAGCAACTCCTCAAACCAAGTTACTATTTATCTAAACGTAAAACACTAGAAATATTTCCCATGCTGAAGCAAGAGAAGTTGGTGGGGGCTTTGGTTTACTATGATGGTAAGACTTTTTTCCAGTATAGGAGTTATGTATTTTTTCTATATCTATCATTATGTTCTTAATTAAAGTTTTTTTTTGTAGAATAAAAAATGTAGATTTACATGTATATGGAAGATTCAGAATAACTGAGATTTTAGTAAAGTTTGGGTCAAGCTGTAAAATGTTTTGCTGAAATTTAGAAAGCTTTTCTTGGTACAGTTATGTTTAATTACATAACAGGCCAACATGATGATGCCAGGATGAACATTTCTATGGCTATCAGTGCTGCTCGTATGGGAGGTACCATTACAAACTATACAGAGGTCTTAAAACTTTACAAAAAGACTGACGAGAATGGGAAAGAAATTGTCTGTGGAGCCAGAATTAAGGACAGACAAACTGGTAGGTAGAGGCAGAGTAGAATGAAGAGATGTATAAAAGACTTGTGGGTGTAATTTGGAGAAGCAATGCATGCTAGCAGACTGGAAATGAAAGAATTTATTTGTTCAAGTTCAATGTTCAAGTGATGATTTGATTATGATGGATGATTTTTTTATTTTTCAGATCAAGAATTTGATGTAAAAGCAAAATGCATAATCAATGCTGCAGGTCCATACACTGACAGAATTAGACTAATGGATGATAGCAGTAAGAAGAAGATCTGCCAGCCCAGTCAGGGAGTACACATAGTGCTACCTGACTACTACAGGTATTGAAATGATTTTCTTGTATTTAATGCCAGTTTGACAATATTTTAGGTGAACAAAGCATGTTATTTGTTGTACTCTTCATATCCTATAATATTTTCCTCTGTTGACATTTTGTTATAAAGCTACATACTTATTCACTTTTTTTTTAATTTAATTAATCTTCTGTAAGCAGGAGAATGATTGAATAAATTAACAAAATAAAGCAATACCTTCTACATGTATTTCTGTATATATACATAATGTACAAGAATATTTCAGTCCAGACAAGATGGGACTATTAGACCCCGCCACTAGTGATGGTAGAGTGATTTTCTTTTTGCCTTGGCAGAATCACACTTTAGCAGGTTAGTAAGTTATGTACCAGACTTTAAGAAATCATAAAGTAACAAACTGTTCAAATAAATTTTTTTTAATCTGACAGTTATTTCAATATTTGACATATTTTGATGCTCTATATTTAGGAACCACCGATTCCTCTTGTGAGCTGACAGATTACCCAACTCCAACAGAGAAAGAAATCCAGTTCATCCTGAATGAAGTCAAGAATTACCTTCACCCTGACGTTGAGGGTAAGAGTTGGTTGTTATATATATGCATATAAACTTCAAAAAGAATATAGAAGCTGATATCAATATAAAAGTGACAAAAATGGGATAAAACTCATTTCATTGTATGATAATGTTGTCTTCCTGTTTACAGTTCGTCGTGGTGATGTGCTGTCAGCCTGGTGTGGTATCCGTCCGTTAGTGTCAGATCCAAACAAGAAGGACACACAGTCTGTGGCCAGGAACCACATCATTGAGGTGGCGGACGACCATCTTATCACCATAGCAGGTATAAATCAGAGGGCAAATATTGTCAAAAACATTGGAAAGGACTCGCCATAACTCGAGCCTTCAGAGAAAAAGAGATGTTCTGATAGTGAATTATTTTAAAATATTTTGTTTTTTGTAGTTTAAAAGAATCAAATTTAATGTTTGATTTTAGAAATGACTGATCTGTTTCACTGTTAGCAGAAAAATGTCTTTATTGATAATATTGATAGTTACACACTATTTCTCTCCTTGATAGGAGGGAAATGGACAACATATCGACACATGGCAGAGGAGACATTAGACAAAGCAGTAGAGGTGTGTTCATTGAAGCATGCCAGGCCCTGTCAGACTAAGGGGCTACTACTGGACGGTGCTCACGGCTGGACACCCACACTGTTCATCAGACTTGTGCAGGACTTTGGCTTAGAAAATGAGGTCAGTTCTCAGGGATTTTTTACTCTTTAATTCCAGGGGCCGGGGCCGTCAAGATTGGGAAAAATAGCGATATTTGGTTGAAATTTGGAAAAATAGCTTCATACAAACAAAAAGGAAAAAACAAGCAAAAGTCAAATCTTTAATCATTTTTCTTACCTTTTACAGAGCTGCCAACCCTTACGCTTTTGGCGTAAGTCTTATGAAATTAGCATTCAAAATACCCCTTACAATTTCTCTTTATATTTTTCCGATTTCGGTTTTTCTCAATCAAAGTTTATAATACCGGAATTTTCATAACAGACCATCCACAGATTCTACTATTATAATTCAATATTCATAATTCTTACAACGCTTGCTTGTATCGTCGTTTCAGTTTTTGATGGCTGATCGCATTCATGTCAATATTTTAAAGTAAACAAAATGGAAACATGCCTCAGTTTGCTCTGATTGCATGTCCATTTACAAAACATATTCAGCGGCAGGGGCCCTAGGTGGTCCCCGGACCCTGCCTTACTATTTGTTATTTCAGAATGTCGGCAGCTCTGCTTTTATTGTATGAAACTGGGTTAATCCAGCTTTAGTAATATAAAAAAATGATAGCTGCTGTTGAAGTTCAGAAGCTTAAAAATGGCAAAGCTGCTGGGTATGATAAAATTGTAAATGAACATATTTATACGTTTTGATCTTTTTTTACCTTTCTATAAAAAGTTCTTTAAAATAAAATTTGATGGTGGGTTTGTTCCAGATGAGTGGTTAAATGGTACTGTTTGACCAGTATATAAGAATAATAGCGATTCAAACCAGCATGAAAAATACATCCTTTGCAAACTGGAGAGACTATATGGTGCACATTCATTTATAAATAAAGATCCCGACTTTAATTTTTAAACATCGATCCCGCTTTGAAAAGTATGCATGCAAACATACATAGTATTCTGAATGACTTCTTGGAGCTCCTCAGATGGCTCGTACATCACACAAAGAAAACAAACACCTTTATTTCATCATTTTATTTTAATAATTTACAACTTAATACTTTTTTCATATTGGGAATTTTTAGATATAATTTTGGGAAAAACATGTACTTTTCAGCATTGGGAATGGGGCCGAATTTCGGCCCCAGTGAGACCCATAAAAAATCCCTGGTTCTCTCAATAATGACTGGCTCTTTATTGGATTGTACACTATTTGTCTCAATCAATTTTCTGCTATGACTACTGATATAAAATGTACAATGTATTTGGAAATAATTTGTTATTTGTCGGAAATCAACTTTTGTAAGAGTAAGTGACAGCATAGTTCTTGGAGAAAAAAATCTTACTTGCAAAAGCTCTCAGTCTGTGTTGGAAATAACCATGGTTATTTTATTTAAGACATTCCTAAACATTTGGAAATGTTCTTCTTTTATTGTGTCCTTTGATTGATTAAAAATGCTTTTCTGTAAACTTTCCTATAGGTTGCTCAACATTTGGCCAACACCTATGGAGATAAGGCCTTTAAGATCGCTAAGATGTCCTCATTAACTGGGAAAAGATGGCCAGTGGTTGGGAAGAGACTCCATGATGAGTTCCCTTATTTAGAAGCCGAGGTAGGGGTCCGCAAAATCCACAATCTAATCTTGCTGGAAATATTTTTGTTTTTATTAATTTTTAAAAATTCTATTTTTAGGTGAAATATGCTGTAAGGGAGTACGCCTGCACTGCTATAGATATCATCGCCCGCAGGACGCGGCTAGCCTTCTGTAATGCTAACGCTGCAGAGGAGGCCTTACCTAGGATTGTGGAGATCATGGCAGAGGAACTGAAATGGAGCAAATCAAGACAACAGGTTAAAAGAAAGTCTTAAAAATAAAACAAATTTAATTGGTTCTTTAAAAAAAATGGTGTTTTCATTAATTATTGTTTATAGGTTCAATTTTTTTGATTGGGATTGGGGTGTACTATTACATCAATATTTAAATTCAAGGACATTTACTTCATCCTATTTTATCATAAGAAGAATTTGTAGCTTTTTTATCTTAAACCCCTATCTTATGGTCGAGCTCCACAGAAATTGGTGTTCAGCGAACATTACGCTGAGGTTCTTTAAAAAGAATCGAAGAGATTGATACGTTAAAAAGGAGAAACAATGCTATACACATATATTTTGTTAAAGCTTCACCCGAATCTTTAAATGCAGGATGAGTTGGCCAGAGCTAAGACTTTTCTGAGGAGGGAGATGGGACTAGAGCTTGGAAGTGGCACTTCTAATGTTCCCATCAACTTCAACAAGGACGAGATCAATATGTATGTCAAGCGATTCAAGAGTCTGGATAGGGACAACAAAGGATATATAACCGTCAACGATCTCAGACGTTATTTCAAGGTAAGCTTCATGTAGCAAGAAAACAAGAAATGCATTTTTAATGTGTTTTTTTTTTGTCTTAGAAGAAAACTTTGTTTCTGCTTTTTAATCGTTTTTTGTGCTTGTTTTAATTATCAGATTTTTCATAAAATAACTTTTTAGCCTGGCTAAATATTTCATTATTCAATATCTTCTCTGATATGTTTCATTTACGTATATTTACTATAGGGATCGGTGAGTGAATATGCAATAAAAATCCTTTTTTTATTTAATATTCATTGTATAGGACTCCTTGGCAAAATAGCCTTCAGCATTTGCATTGTCAGTATTCCATGATAATACTCCCTCTATATGAAATAGTCATAGCAAATCAAAAACTATCACAGGATGAAAAATTAAATTCTTTCTAAATTTAATTGATTTAATATTTACTTATACTTGTATGTAAGTACTGTGATCATTTTATGGCAAAACAGTTATTGACTGTAGAATGAGTTACTGTTTGTGAGATTTTGCAAGTTTCTCCAAAATAGGTCAGATTTTGACTGAAAAAATTTGAAACTTCATAAAATGAAATGAGCCCTTTTCAACCATTTTTTTTGTATAGGATTGAAACATTTTATACAGTAATTGTATAAAGCAATTGTGAAACTAATCATGGCTTCACTGGAGTTGAAAATTTCTTTTCAGAGGGCTTTAGTAACTAATGCTTCAAAGCTTAAATTTTTCTATTTTAACTGAATTGCTTAAGACTTGACACTATTTGATACATTAACCTTCTGTATATTTGTCAAAAAAACAAAAACAACAGAAAGAAAAACACTTGATATTCTTAAAGTTTTGACTAAAGACTTGTTTCAATTTTGTTTCTACTATCCATAATACATGTAGTATCATTGAAGACAAAAAAACTTCCTCCTTTCAAGAAAGGTCGGGTTGAATATGAAGCAAATCACAAACATAAATTTTTTAGGGTTCTATTCATTTTGACCATTTGTTAGATGACCTCCTTTTATTTATTTATGAACTTTTCTGAATTCAGTCATATACCCGGTATTTGAATCATTTATCTAGCAGTTATTATAAATAGTCCATAAATTTTTACTATACATGTATTTAATATACAAAAAAAAATACACTCTACATATATATATAATAGTAAAGAGGTATTGAATCATATAGATTTTTAGCTCACCTGAGCGGAAGGCTCAAGTGAGCTTTTCTGATCACATTTTGTCTGGCGTCCGTCTGTCTGTCTGTAAACTTTTCACATTTTTGACTTCTTCTCAAGAACCGCTGGGCCAATTTCAACCAAACTTGCCCAAAGCATCCTTGGGTGAAGGGGATTCAAGTTTGTTCAAATGAAGGGCCAAGCCCTCATTCAAGGGGAGATAATTGGGAATTAATGAAAATTTGGTGGTATGTTTTAAAAATCTTCTTCTCAAGAACCACTGTGCCAGGAAAGATGAAACGTATGGGAAAGCATCCTCAGGTAGTGTAGATTTAAATTTGTTCAAATCATGATCCCCGGGGGTAGGGCGGGGCCACAATGGCCGACCAAAGTTTTACATAGAAATAAATAGGAAAATTCTTTAAAAATCTTCTTTTCAAGAATAACAAAGCCATGATTGATCAAACTCATGTATGGAATCAACATCTGGTAGTGTAGTTTCAAGCTTATTCAAATCATGACCCCGGGGGGTAGGGCGGGGCCACAATGGCTGACCAAAGTTTTACATAGAAATATATTGGAAAATTCTTTAAAAATCTTCTTCTCAAGAATACCAAAGCCATGATTGATCATATTTGTATGGAAGCATCCTCAGGTAGTGTAGATTCAAGTTTGTTCAAATCATGACCCCCAGGGGTAGGGCTGGGCCACAATGGCAGACCAAAGTTTTACATAGAAATATATAGGAAAATTCTTTAAAAATCTTCTTCTCAAGAATAACAAAGCCATGATTGATCATATTTATATGGAAGCATCCTCAGGTAGTGTAGATTCAAGTTTGTTCAAATCTTGACCCCCAGGGGTAGGGCAGGGCCACAATGGCTGACCAAAGTTTTACATAGAAATATATAGGAAAATTCTTTAAAAATCTTCTTCTCAAGAATAACAAAGCCATGATTGATCATATTTATATGGAAGCATCCTCAGGTAGTGTAGATTCAAATTTGTTCAAATCATGACCCCATGGGGTAGGGCAGGGCCACAATGGCTGACCAAAGTTTTACATAGAAATATATAGGAAAATTCTTTAAAAATCTTCTTCTCAAGAATAACAAAGCCATGATTGATCATATTTATATGGAAGCATCCTCAGGTAGTGTAGATTCAAATTTGTTCAAATCATGACCCCATGGGGTAGGGCGGGGCCACAATGGCCGACCAAAATTTTACATAGAAATATATAGGAAAATATTGAAAAATCTTCTTCTCAAGAATAACAAAGCCATGATTGATCATATTTATATGGAAGCATCCTCAGGTAGTGTTGATTCAAGTTTGTTCAAATCATGACCCCCAGGGGTAGGGCGGGGCCACAATGGCCGACCAAAGTTTTAAATAGAAATATATAAGAAAATTCTTTAAAAATCTTCTTCTCCAGAATAACAAAGCCATGATTGATCATATTTATATGGAAGCATCCTCAGGTAGTGTAGATTCAAGTTTGTTCAAATCATGACCAAAAGGGGTAGGGGCGGGGCCACAATGGCCAATCAAAGTTTTACGTAGAAATATATAGGAAAATTCTTTTAAAATCTTCTTCTCAAGAATAAAAAAGCCATAATTCACCATATTTATATGGAAGCATCCTCATGTAGTGTAGATTTAAGTTTGTTCAAAACATGACCCCCGGGGGACGGGTTGGGCCAAATGGCCGACCAAAGTTTTAAGTAGAAATATATAGGAAAAGTCTTTAAAAGTCATCTTCTCAAGAATAGCAAAACCATAACTGGTCAGAGGTTTACTTTTGGATTTAAACTTTTCAATAATAAAACCAATTTCTACTTTTTCAAATCAAAATCAATATTTTAATATTTGGCTGATTTACCAGGAAAAAAACATTATTTATGTTATACGCAGTTGGACAATTTGTTGACAGTAGCTTCATATATCTAAATATCTGTATATATAAATACCTATTTCATTGTAAATGTTGTTAATCTTATAATGATTAAGAATATAAGCTTGCTATTTAACTGTCGAGAGTGGGAGTTATGTAGGAAAATAACAGTTTTCAGACTTTAAGTGTAGTGTTGTTGATTCTGATTGATTTGAATTACAGCAAACTGGAGAGAGAGTCACAGAGGACCAGTTACATGACATCCTGAGTGAAGTGGATCTCAATCGCAATGCCCAGGTGGACATCGGAGAGTTCCTACAGGTAAGACGAATCAGGAGTATAGTGTCACATGTTCAGGCAATCTGGGTAAAACTGTTTTAATTAAGGCTATCCATGTGTGCGTATACATATTGTAAAAGGACTGTGTAGCATGTACACTAAATAATAATTAGCAATATATGAAAACCACCAATATAGTATTTAGGAGCATTCTCCTATAAACTTGTGTTCACTGGCTGGTTGATTTTTCTGCTACATTCTGTCTATAAAATCTATATTTGCCTTTATGTAACTCACAGCTCACATTCATGTTAATACACACACAAACATTGTGAGTCTTTGCTGTATTCAGCATCCATGGACATGTATAGGACTTGATTATAAAGCTGGGGTTGTTTGTTTTCCAGTTAGTTTACTGTGCTCACATAGCAGCTGAGATAAATAGACATGATGAATATGATAAAGATCTCCACAGAAAACATCAACTGGTACTAAGCACCTTATATATACATTGTATCTGTGTGGCCTTTGGTTGAAGTGTATTTCTTTCTGTCACCTGTAGATTTAGTATTCTTAAATAATACACAACATTCTATCACTACTTATTATCCCCTTGCAATGCAGTTGGAAGGGGTATAGTAATGCTCTTGTGTGTGTTTGTCCCTGTGTTAGTTTTGCTTGTTCAAATACAGAAGTAATTTGTATCAGGACTGATGTTGAATGCCATCTTGATTAATTTAAGATGTGCTCTTTGCGAGGGGATGATCTGCTTTGTGGTGCCCTTGTTAGCTCACCTGAGCCAAAGGCTCAAGAGAGCTTTTCTGATCACATTTTGTCCGTCGTCCGTCCGTCTGTAAACTTTTCACATTTTCAACTTCTCTTCAAGAACCAATGGGCCAATTTTAACCAAACTTAGTACAAAGCATTCTTTGGTGAAGGGGAGTTTAAGTTGTTAAAATGAAAGGCCAAGTCCCCTTACAAGGGGAGATAATCAAGAAAAGACAAAGTTAGGATGGGGTCATTAAAAAATCTTCTTCTCAAGTACCACTGGGCCAGGAAAGTGGAAACTTATGTGGAAGCATCCTTGGGTAGTGTGGATTTTAAATTGTTAAAATCATGACCCCCTGGCGTAGGGCGGGGCCACATTAAGGAATCCAAGTTTTACATAGAAATATATAGAACAAATCTTTGAAAATCTTTTCAAGATCCACTGGGCCAGGAAAGCTGAAACTTATGTGGAAGCATCCTTGGGTAGTATAAATTTTAAATTGTTAAAAGCAAGACCCCCGGGGGGTAGGGAGGGGCCACAATAGAGAATCCAAGTTTTACATAGAAATATTTAGGAAAAATCTTTAAGAATCTTCTTCTCAAAAACCACTGGGCCCAGAAAGCTGAAACTTATGTGGAAGCATCCTGTGGAAGTGTAGATTCTAAAGTATTAAAATCATGACAGGGGAGGGGGTAGGGGGCCACGATAAGTATAACAAGACGGGGAATCTGGTAAAGAACTGCATCACCCAAGTTACTCAGGTGAGCGATGTGGCCTATGGGCCTCTTGTTTTTTTCTTTATTTTACATATCCTGCAATTAATACTTTGCTTATCCAGAAAAATAACAAGATTTGTGTTCCACCTGATTCCTGATGTAACAAGGGTGGTTTCTAACAGGGACATGTATAAACATATACATAATCACAATAGAGCACCTGACCCTCACATTCATTACAACCTGATTCCAAAGTATTTAATTATTTTCTGTTAACAAATTGATGCCCATAATTTTGATTCCTAAATGTGTAAGCTTATATGAGGGTAGTTGTAGTATGTTCTACCAGTATATGATGTATTAGCTGCTTTTATGGTTATAAGCTGATTTACATTGATCTGTATCTCGATCCTGCATATAGAGTATAACTAACATGGATATCTAAATGTGTAGAACTTTCTACGTATGACTATAAAAACCCAGAAGAACATAAGTATATGAATTTCATTTCTTTTTTGCAGCTGATGAGTGCATTAAAAAGTGGAGCAGTTTCCAACTCACGATTTGCCAAGGCTGCTGAAATGTCGGCAGAGAAAATTCCAGTACACAGGAGTGGAGGAGGAGTGTAACTCATCATTAGAACATAGAATATTTTTTTCTTAATTTATTATATACATTGTGTGTATTGCTTGAAATTCATGTTTTACACCTGTTGACACCTTATAGAAATCCCATTCACTTACGATCATTACCGGTTTATTAGATTATGAATCCACAGTTACGTATTTAAACTTAATTCTTAATATGACTGAGAGATATTTCAGGGAGTATATTTTGAATAAGAAAGGTATTTTCTTTATTAGCAGAGCATAATATCGGAATTAGTAGTTTAATGTTGTTTATAAATGTTTTTTGGGGTAAAATTCCATGGACTGTATTTTTTATATTTATAATCTGCAATCTTGTTAGCTAATCAAGCATGTAAAAAACGGGGCTTTTTAAAGATGTTATTTTTATGTTTACACGATTCTGAAGTACACTTAATATGTCACGTTTAATTTTCATATTACATAATTGTATGCATAAACTATTTGCAAAAGTTACCGGTAATCCAATATTTTATTGCTTAGGGACTTGTTTTCAGAGTTCTACTGTATTTTATATTAGTGTGGCATATGCATTGTTCTAATTGGGTCTCATGTGTTTAAAATCCATAAAGTGAACTTTAATTAATATTAATGTTTCATTTCAGATTTTACTTTATTGGTGCCATTATTGTTTCTAAGTGAAATATGTATTTGCATAAAGTTCCGTTATAAGAATCTTTTTAGTGCTGTTACATGTGTTATTACATGTAATTATCTATGAACCCTGAACAATACTGTACTTGTAACTTGTTACTGTTAAAGTGCTTATAAAACTTTTCAGTTTTAGAAACCAAGTTCGTACTAGTATGATGAATTCTCAGATATTAAGTAAAATGAACAAAACACCGATTTTATTTTATAACTCCTGGTTACAGACTGGAGGATACATAGATAAGTATCCTTGTGTTGTATAAACCATTTTTTAAAGTGCAGCAGCAGCATTACAGCATCAGTCTGAATTTAATGAATCTTGTATAGACTACATTAAGATAAAATGGGCAAACATCCCTGTCTATATGGATTATAATAATGAATGGTTTTGCTGCTGGTATTCACTCTGATAGGCAAGCTCACCTTAAGGAGGCTGGGTGGATCAACAAATTAACCATCAGATATAACTTTTTCAATATGATATCTTTCAAGCTGTCAACTATTATTAGGCAACAAAAAATTTCATTCAATTTAGTTTTTAAATGTTATCATTTATGTGGAGCTCTTGCAGAATTTGTGGCCTCGGGGCCAGGGGTGATGTTAGGGTGGGGCTAAATTGATCATAAAGAAAAATGTAGAATTTTTTCTAAAGCCAGACCCCCCCCCCCCCGGCATGAGGAATTTAAATCCTCTTTTGTGACCTTCCCCAATACCAGGAGGGGGAGGATGTCAAAGAAAGAAAACCTCTCCTGTCCGTAGAGCTAGTCTTCTAGTTTTATATTCCTCTTATTATAAATGCATAATTCTACTCCTCCAATTCAAGAGCTTTATCACATACAGGTATGATGAACATTATTGCTGTTTTGTCACTGAGATTTAAAAAAAAAAAAAAGAGGTCTAAATGCAAGAATTTACATTTAATTATTAATTTAAACATGCTGAGTAATTTTAAATCACCATTTCTAACAAAATAATCTATTAAAGATTTACTTAGTATTTACATTCTTTTTTAAAATATTTTATATAAATCCAAAAACAAGATATCAAATCTTAATATACATCTTCATATCTTCAAAACTGATATTTTACAAAGTTACATAAATTGCACATTTTATGCACCCATCATATACAAAGTGAAATTATAACAAATTTACTCCCCTTAAAATGAAACGAGTCAAATTTCATTTATACAGAGAGTAATGTTCTATAAAAAAAAAAAAAATGAACAAAACATAGAAATGGAAAAGTGCAACATCTAAAATTCATGAGGAAAAGTGTTCAAAAAACTATTAACCATTATAATTCAGAGATAGAGAACTTAAGTTTTTTATTTCAACATGTAGCATTACTACATTCAACAAGTAGCATTTACTGGTAGTATTTCTATACAAATACTGTATTACAAGGATTTTTAGCAGTGCATGAATAATGGTACAAAAAGTGATTAGTTCATGATAAGGAAAAACAATAACAAACTTGAACCTTGAAAATAAATACACAGTAAATGTACAATTCATAAACAGACCAAAGATTAGTACAACTTTCTGGAGGCGTACACTCTTTAATTAGTATTTCACACAATATTTGCGAAAGATTTTTTTTAATAGAAAATTTTGATGCACCCTCAAAATTGCCTTGATGTTTTTTGTTTTAAGTTTTTATTGTGAGAGAATATGTATGTATGCATAAAATTGCTGTGCTTTTTTTCACAAAACAACAAGCATGAATATATAGCACTTGTACATGTTTAAAATCTAGATCTCTTTCTCAAAATAATTTCCAAAACAGCTGAGCTCACTCGGTTCATCTAAATATTTATCTTAATCTATCACGATACCTTTACCCTTTTCATTACATGAATTTACACTCTTTCACATGTAAACAATAATCTAAAAAGGATACTGCCTACATATGCATATATTTACAGTATGTCATTGAAGTAATAATAGGGGAGTATGTAAAACAGTTTCCTTTCATCAAAATCTTTTATCATAACTGCTTTATATTAAGCATTGACAACCAGATTTGAGTTAGAAATAAAAAAGCAAAGAAAAACCTGCTTTGAAACAACAAGCTTGAGAAAGTCCCACACATAGGTAAGTCAGATTACAGTACAATATTAACACACACTTTATGTGACAGGGTCTCCATCCTCTTGTTTATCTGTTTTGTTCTCCAACTCATCTTTGGCATCAGCAAAGCTCTCATTATCACTAGCATTTTCCTCTTCCTCTTTCACCTGAACCGTTTCTGCATTCGATTCCACGGAATCTTTCTGTTCCGTCTCAAACTCCACATCTACTGGCTCCGTTTTGATCTCCACAGTTTGCTCCGTTTTGATCTCCAGAGTTTGTGATTCCTCACTTTCTTCTTTCTTTACCGTTTCTCCAACATCCTCAGTTTTTACACTTGCTTCTGGTGGAATTTCACCAGTATGTTCTATACTCTCTTGATTTATGCTACACTCGGGCTCTGATTTCACCACAACTGAGCTCTCTGTGTCCTCATTTTCTTTGTCTGTACTTGAAACAGATTCTGAAACTTCTGACACCACTATATTGTTTGAATTATTAATATTATCATCTATCGTACTGTCCTCAGTTTTTACAATATCTGTGCCCCCTGATGGTGCCTCATTATGACCTTGTAAGTCCTCATCCAATTCCTTACTATCTCTGGAAACTGTGGGGTCCTCAAAGGGCACCTGCTCCTCTGAAGACTCCAGCCCTACAGGGGGCACCTGCTCCTCTGAGGACTCCAACCCCTCAGGGGGCATCTGTTCTATATGATCTTCTTGTGACACAATTTCCTCTGCTACATAGTCTTCTCTCTGAAATTCCCTTTTCACTTCCTATGATTAAAACACATAAATAATTAACTATGCAATTCAATTATAATCAGCTGTATTAATTTGCAAGAATTTGCCCGTGATTTGCAGGATTTATACAGGTATTGAGCTGAAAATCCAAAGATTTCTGGATGAAATAACCGATTTGAATACCTTTGGATTGACAATGGGAATGGCAGCCTTTGCCCTCTTTGGTGTTGCTCTTGAGCCTCGCATTTGTAACTCGGGAGGATAATACACTGTTTGGTTTCGGAACATCTCCTGAATCAGTAAAAAAAACCTATTAAGTCTATATCCTAATTACTTACTTCACTCTATATACATGTATCTACCTGATGAATCTTACCTGTGGTCCTGACTGTGTTGGGCTTTGTTGGGCCCCCACTGATGTGGGTTGAGTCCCTGGGGGTGAGGGGTAGCCTTGTTGATGGGTGGCTAATGCTGGTGGGTGATTTCCCATGGGAGCGAATCCAGCTAAAGGAACGGGGGGCACCGGAAAATTGGGGGCTGCTGGATACAGAACCCCTGTGTTGGTGTACTGAGGGGGGATCATTTGAACTTGTGTTGTCATGGCAGCTGGCTGGTTCCCAGGGAAGATGTGTTGAGGAGTAGACATTGCAGCACTTGGTACAGCTAAAATACAAGTTTCAGTTAAATCAGTATGTCCAGAACAGGACAGTTCCTGCCCCCTTTACTTGAAATACTGTAAAAGTGGTTATATTGGCGGTACGAAAGTTTGACGATTTTTTCATCTTAAAAAATTGACGAGGGAAAACTTTGACGAATTTTTATTTGTGCAAAATAAATGAAAATTAAAAAAAAATGAGTTATCTTTCTTTCATTCCTCACACCTTTACCAATTTCTTAATACGAGTATCGACGACATAGCCCGTGGCTACTAATGAACTTATGTCAAATAATTATTAAAGGGTAGTTTTTGAAGTTCATTTTGACGCCAGTAAGAATGTTACGCTGGCTAAAAACAGCTGGGCCCAAACCTGGTATAACGGGACCCTCTAAACATGCTAAAGCCAGTGATTAATTTGTAACAGTTCAAGAAACGATTATCTCCTCCAGACCTGTTCATACTGTTAATATGTTCAAAGTTGTTATAATTAAATAATTGAATGGATAAAAGGAAGTTTTTGTTTGTATAGCATTTAACTGTCAGTTAATAGTGCTCGAGGCAAGGAACCTGCCGATCAGCAGGGCTTGGTAGTAATTACATAACAATGTACCGAATAAGGGACTTAGGGAGAAGTTTAAAAATATGTTTGTTTGACTTTTTGTCTGCAATTGGGTACCTTATGTATTATTTTCATTTTATTTTAAACTAAATTAATTTTCACATAAGTTTATAAATATTATGTATTACAATGTTATTATCTGTTCGGGATCGAGATTCGCAAAATATAATGAGATTGCGACGGAAAAGGGCAAGGTGATCCAATTGATTCCACGGGTGGTACGGGCGAAGGACAACAATGAATAAAAAAAAAATGACGAGAAGAAACTTTGACGAGCTGAAGCCATTCGTCAAATTCGTCAATGTTACCTCCTCGTCAAACTTTCCACTTTTACAGTATTAGATAATTACAGTATTTTGTATATACTTGTGAGTATAATCATTATTTCACAAAGTCCATATTTTCTTCAATTTATTTTTCATCCATTTTGAAGAAATTTTTTTGTTTCAGAGAAAATAAGAGCCTCAACTAGCCTAAGCATCAAATTCTGGAAGTTACCATTTTGCTTTTTCTTTGCTCATAATAGAGAAGTGATACAATTATGGAAATCAAAGTACAAATAAAATCTATCTGATGATAATCCTTGACATACAATCAAAAATGTATCCCTTTACAATGCTTACAAAAATTTGGCATCTCTTTTAAGTTTATGCTGGTGCATTATGACATTAAAGCATTTTTGGTGGCTTCTGCTTACCATTCATGGGGAATGCCACTGTAGCTATTGGGGGTCGGAGTATAGCAGGGTTAGGGTGTGTGGGGAAGTTGGCTTGGCTTGCTGTGAAGAGAGAGATAATCATGTACAATATACAATCCTTTGCATCATACACGTAATGTGTACTCTATATGGTTTAAGCAGCATTCATGTGGAAAGTGAGTGAAATACAAATATAAAATTGAAACCAATATAATTATAATTCAATTAACTTAACTTTTAATTAAATTAAATACAAATTTTATACTTATTGCAATATTGACATGAAAAACAAGTGTTCATTATTGAAATTGAAACTAACTTTCTGTCATGTGAGAAAGTTTGAAAATTATGAAATAAGCTCAGCATTGAGGAACAATTAGATATGTTAGTAGGTTCTGTTTGATCAAACTTCATAGAATTCACTTCAATAATTAGATATTATGAGCATTGGCACTTTCTTGATATCATGCCCCCCCCCCAAAAAAAATCTGCAGCTACTGTAAATCATTTTTACATTCTCAACACTTTCTATATAACTTGCCTGCTCAGAAAATTTCATTCTATCACAAGAGGCCCAAGGGCCTTGAATCGCTCTTCTGATAAATTGTACAATCTATCACTTCTATTAGAAGCCTTCAACTCTATTAGTATCATAAGACCCAAAATGCATCAACTTACAAAGTATGATAATATTTAGCCAGTTAAGACTGAAGATATCATAATATAATTATAAAATACCATAAGTAGGTCACAGTGACCTACCTTTTGATTGGAATTTTCTGAGGACTCGAGATACATTAACTGACAAAGACTGATGATTCTAATTAAATAAGTACCTGAGATATTCAAAAAGTAGGTCACCATGACCTACTTTTTGGTCAACATTCTCTGAAAACCCAAGGTGCATCATCTGACAAAGTTTGATAATTCTAAGCCAATTAGTTCCAGAGATAATTAAATATAGCCATCAAATGTCAAAAGTAGGTCACGGTGACCTACTTTTTGGTCGACGTTATCCAAACACCCAAGATGCCTAAACTGAGAAAATTTGCTGATTCTAAGCCAATAAGTACCTGAGATATTCAAAAGTAGGTCACTGTGACCTACTTCTTGTTGGACATTCAATGAAACCGTAAGATGCCTCAACTGACAAAGTTTGATGATTCCGAGCCAATAAGTACCAGATATAATTAAATATAGCCATAAAATGTCAAAAGTAGGTCACAGTGACCTACTTTTTGGTCGACGTTCTCCGAAAACCCAAGGTGCCTAAACTGACAAAGTTGGATGATTCTAAGCTAATACGTACCTGAGATATTCAAAAGTAGGTCACTGTGACCTACTTTTTGGTCGACATTCTCCGAAAACCCAAGATGCATCAACTGACAAAGTTTGATGATTTTAGGCCAATAAGTACAAGAGATACTTAATTATAGCCACAAAATGTCAAAAGTAGGTCACCATGACCTACTTTTTGGTCGTCACTCTCTGAAAACCCAAGAGGCATCAACTCACAAAGTTTGATGATTCTAAGCCAATAAGTACCGGAGATACTTAAATAAAGCCATAAAATGTCAAAAGTAGGTCACCATGACCTACTTTTTGGTCGTCACTCTCCGAAAACAAAATATGCATCCACTCACAAAGTTTGATGATTCTAAGCCAATAAATACCCAAGATACTGAAATACAGCCATAAAATGTCGAAAGTAGGTCATCGTGACCTACATTTTGGTCGATATTTTTCAAAGACCCAAGATGCATCTACTGACCAAGTTTGATGATCGTAGGTCTGAAGGTTATCAAAATATGCATTTTAAACAATTTGAAAACAAATGTCGGCAAAATTCAAAAAGTAGGTCACAGTGACCTACTTTTTCATAAATATGTTTTAAGGTCCCTAGATGCATCAAAGTACAAGATTTGATGATTCTAAACCTCCCGGTGTCTGAAATAATGGGATTTAATGTTTTTAAAAGGATAAGTCATAAAGTTCAAAAAGTAGGTCATGGTGACCTACTTTTAAGTTGTCATTGTTCAAGGACCCAAGATGCATCAACTGACAAAGTTTGATGATCATAGGCCTTAAAGTGTCCAAAATATGCCTTCAAATCAATTTGAAAACAAATCCCCACAAAATTTAAAAAGTAGGTCGCGATCTACTATTGAGTTAACATGATGTGAAGTCGTAAGATGCATCAACTTACAAGATTTGATGATCCTAGTCCTTATAGTAAGAAAAATATACACGTTTTTATTAATTGTAAATTTAGGTCAACTTTGAAGTGACCTTGAGACCACGCCCTTTGCCCCAGGGTCATGCCTTGAACAATTTTTAATCTTCAACATATCCTAATCCTTGTATGTAAGTTTGGTAAAAATCTGCCTGGTGGTTCTGGAGAAGAAGATTTTTTAGCAACCAGTACTTTTGGTTTCGTTTTCCTGATTATCTCCCCCTGTTTTAGGGTTCCAACCCTTATTTTAGTATAAATGGTAGCCCTTGGGCCAAGGATACCCTGTGACAAATTTGGTACTGATTGGCCAATGGGTTCTTGAGTTATGGCCCATATTCTAAAAAGTTAACGCACACCGCACAAATGGCCATAGCATTAGCTCTTTGAGCCTTTGGCTCAGAAGAGCTAATAAATATGAAGCAATACTTGCAAAAAGTAAGGTGTCATGAGAATCTAGTGATCTACTATAACATCTACTGTATACAGGGTGATTTTCGCCAAGTTATTTTCGCACTTTCACACTTGCAAACAATTTTGCCCCGTTTTAAATTCACCCGATCAAAGTTTTGTTTAAGAAATTATACTGCATTCTTTGAATTTGTCCCATCTTAAATTTGCCCAAATGAGGGTAGGGTGAAAGGGGAGAAAATAAAACAGGGGCAAAAATTTCCCTGTATATAGTACATGTAAATCCTTATTGCATTTATCAAGCCCAAACAGCTTGCTGTTTTTAACCGATAAAACCCTAGGAATTGGATCTCTATTTTTAGATTACCACTACAACATGCCAATGCCTTCAAATAAGTTTTCTGCATTAAAAAGCTCTGAAAGTATATTTCATTCACAAGTATGATCAATTAATTGAAAAACAGATGAAGGTTGATCTTTTTACAAGACAAAATGACCATGCTTTAAATATCAGGATGTGCATGTGCAAATAAGAAAAAGATGTTAGATTTACACATCTGAGCCCGTGCTTGGTCTCGGACTTCCATCAACAGCTTGCAAAACATGTTTTGGCCGTTGAAGTTTTTTCCGGTTCCCCAGAATAAACTCGCGACATCGTGAGCCAGTGGTTTGTTCCCTGTTGCCAGAAGGGCAGTACGGAAGGGCTCCACTTGTTTAAATTTTTCTATAAGTATATCTTTCATGACACTACATCTGGTATTGATCCATTTTTCAGACGGATTTATGCTCTTTGACAACATTTTGACTTTATTTGCAGCCTCGGTTTTTCTCATCTCCTCGGCCAGTTCTTTTTTATTATGAAATACAGCCTTGCTGAATTGATATGCATGTTCTGCACTAGCGAAATGATTGTTATCCCATTTAATTGCACAAAGGTAAAAGTTTGAGAGAGGGTTTTCATGTCCTTTGATGAAAACAGTGTCTGAAAAATAGTTACATTTTATTAACTTTATATTTTTTCCAGTATTAGTCATTGTATATCTGCTAAAAGTTTTAAGTGAATTATATACAATAAATCTGTGTAGCTTTAATTTTAACTTTCCACCTATGAATTGTATACAGTGTATATTAGGCCACATTTGATAAATACACGGCTGTTTAACATTTTTAGATAAATGAAAATACAGCCAAACCTGTATAAAACAACCTTTCTAGGTAATTTTAGAACTTCTGTATCTTGATAGGTCATCTGTTCCTTATTAATCAGGTGAATGGAAATTAAAGGTACATATACATGTATCACAATTCACACTTCTAATGCCAGAATTTAATGGATCTATTTTTTAATGTTTTTGTAAAAACAGCATCTCTTAGTTTTTGGATTTTTTTTTTTTTTTTTTTTTTTTTTTTTTTTTAAAAGTCTACTGAAATGTTTTTTGCTGATTTTGTTTGCTTAAAAAAGCTACATTCTTACATATAGCAACATTTGCTTTGGCACCGGTTGCTTCCTGTATGTATATTTTATCTTGTCTTGACTCCAGCTTAAATTTGGCAAAATTGTAAGTGCTAGTCTTTCTAAAGACATAAAGGAGGATTTCCAAGAAATTACAAATATCCAAGATATGCAATATACTGTGTGACTGCTATTATTACAGGTGAATATCCAAATATACAGCTCTTACTAGCAAAATTTATTTAATATGTGCAGGATTAACAAAGATAACCAGTTTAATATTAGTTATTCTGAAAACATAGGGAAACATGGATTCATGCAAAGAATACTTACACCAACTAACCCAACAGTGTTGAATACAATGTATTAATATATTCCATGCATCAAACTGAATTTTACCTGGAGGATAGAATGCCTTCTGACCCTCTATTGGCTGTTCCGTGAATCCCCCCACGTCAGGCATGTTACGCTGTCGTTGGGAGGAGTAGCGCTTAGGTTTACCTCCCTGATCCTGCTTACTGTACGTTTTGTTGTCAAACTGCTGGGACTGGATAACTTCCTCTGATTAAACAAACACCAATCTTGAAACATTTTGTTGTAAACCAAGACAGAATTCCCAAAATCTTTAACTAGGCAAAGCAAAACCCCCCAAAATAAAATTTAATGAAAGTAATTCCGATCAATTTTCATCCTCATATCAATATATCTCTTAATTTTTACACTCCATATTCCTTAATTTTTACTTAATAATTAATTCATTAATAATTTAAGGATTTTTAATTTCTCAGATGACAAACCTTGCTTTCCCTGTGGCTCTGGTGGTGGTGCCGCCTCCTCTGGAACCACTGGCGGGGGTGGCTCCTCTGGTCCCCGTCCTGACTTGACACGCCGTTCTTTGGAGTAAGACTTACGCTCCCCAGTATTCTGTACAATTAATGACTCTGCTACAGGTGCCACCTGAGGCTGACTTTCTCTCTGAGGGGGAGGGGGAAAACCCTGCTTACCCTCAGGTGGAGACTCAGGTGGGGACATATACACCTCCTCATCTCCCCCTGCCCCCTGCTGAAGGGAGGGATCACCCTCTGCAGCTGCCATGTTTTGCTTCATTCTCTGAAACCGTGGAGGGAAATTCCTCTCTGGGGGAAAGTTTCTCTCCGGTTCAGTTTTTCTCCCCCCAGGTCTCCTACTGCCCCTGCCTCCTCTTGACCCCCTCCCTCGTCTATAACTGTCATTATATGACCTTCCCTCTTGTTCAGGACTTATCCTTTCCTCTCTGGGATATGATGTCCTTTCGGCACTTGATCTATTATCTTTGCCTGAACGACTGTCATAATCACTTTTCTCAGAATAAATTTGTTCATTGTTGTCTCTATTGTATGAACGATTCTCCCTCTCTGAACTGTTTCTATTATCCCTAGGACCCCTATTATCTCGATCTTGACTGAAACGTTCACCTCGACTATGATATTCCTGGTCATTCCTCCTATCATTCTGAAACCCTCGATTATGGTAGTCTTGATCACTGCGTCTATCATTCTGATATCCTCTGCCTTCATCAGATCGCCTGGGCTTTTCCTTGTATCCTAGGTCTGGAAAATCTTCCCTATTGTTGAAATCTCCCTGACCAGACTTATTATAACCTCTGTTCCTGTTGTTGTAGTATGAGTTATCGTTCCTGTATCTGTCGTTCCTCCGGTAGTTGTCTCCCCCTCTCCTGGAGAAGCCCCGCCCACCTCTTCCATTCTCATCATACTCCCGTCTCCCACCTGATTTTAGACTGTTGTAGCTATTTCTATTTTGTACGTAATCTCCTTCAGGTATAAAATCTCTGAATCGTGACCTCTGTTTGGATCGAGGACCTCTGCAAGAAAATTATCCATACATAAAATAGAAGTATGTTTATTAACATAAGAAATAAACAAATCAAATGTAAACATTTTCATTTGACTAAATGTCCACCCAAAGAACACTTAATATTCATGCCATTTACTTTAATAATTTTATAATCTACACACATAATCTGCACAGTTTGCAAGTAATAAGAACATTTGGATAAAGAAGGAACATCTGAAATGTCAGTTTGAAAGATACATCCCTATATCTTCTGTGGCCGTTATAAACATTAATTTTTTACCTGGATTGATTGCTCCTGGGAGGGGCGTCTGGGGCTTTGTCACTCCTTGTGATGTCATAACCATACACACTGTACAACTCAGCCCGCGTCTTTGGAGCCTGCATAGCCTCATTGTATCTATCATGCTGCCAATTTCCTTCATCTTTCCATAACTTTTTCTTTGGTCTATAAATGACAACAGTACATTTTTTCTTGGTGAAGAAACATGCTTAAAAAATTGTCTATGATACTGTGGCTGTTAAAAAAATTATGATAAAAGTTGGCAATGGAATAACTCATACTTCTTTTCATCTTCTTCCTGTTCATCCATTGATATCCTCATGTCATGTTCATAAAATGCTCCCTGCTTGGGGACATAAGCCGGATTCTTCTTGTCTTCATCATCATCAACAGCTTCATTGCCCTCAGGCTGCTCCTAATCATCATAAAACAGAAAATATTAGTTCTATTTTTATAAGTTTCTCCAGTGATTATTTTCTATGCAAATGGAAATTATCAATTGAAAATGCAACATATTTACAAATTAAAAAGAGTCAAGATTTTTGAAAGTAACCAGTTATTGCAGTCACTTTTTGTCTATGTTAAAAACAAATTTTCTGAAGTATTTTTATGGTTTGTGAGAAGTAGTAGCATATTAAATGTTCTTACCTCTCCGTCACCACTCTGTCTTTCCTCATCAATTCCATCATCACCTTCAATGATGACACTCTCATCCTCTTCATCATACGACTCATCATCCTCTTCCTCACTTTCCTCTTCATCTGTTTCTTCCTCTTCACTTTCTTCTTCATCTTCTTCTTCATTCTTTTGTCAAAAATGCAAGCAAAATATGCAATTAAGCTAGAACTAAGATGGCTTTTTTCTGCATATCTTATGTATATCTTATGAAATTGATGAAAGATATTAACAATATTCAGCCTTAGAAAAAGCTTTGATATGTATTAATTGGAATGTGAAAATTTTTCAAACCTTGGATCACAATTCACAGGAGTAAATCACTCCCGCACTTGCACCAATAAGGAAATGCTTATAAGAGGTATCTCCCCCTTACCCCTCCTCCCCCCAAAAAATGGAAAAAGCTACATCATTGCAGTGCACTTTCTTAGATTTAATCAGGTTGGGCACAACCTACCAAATGGTCCTTTATCCCCTGTTTGGTAGACAATCTACCATATCGGTGACGAATTTTACTAACCAAATGGGAGACTTTTTTATTCTATTGCACTTTTTATTAAAATAAAACAAAAGCGCATTTTTTTTAGGCATTGGAGGATTTTAGTGTACATATTCCTTGCACAATTAACATAAATCGGTTGAATTTCTATGTGCAATTTCTCCGTAACTTCGTAAAAACAATACACATAGTTGTCTGTAACAGCCGAACTTCTTGATCAATCGATCAAAAAAAATCTTTGTTGTGTCTTGTTCGATAAAAATTCAATTTTATCTGGTGATTTATCTCTTGCTGAGTTGACTTTCAATCTTTTTTTGAATCTTCGTCAATGTTTATCGCCATAAAATCCTGTTAAACACGAGCTCCTCATGCCTTACCGGTATGGTGGGCACTTCCTGCTATAAAGTTACATTTTTCCAGACTTGAATGTAATATTTGTGGTCATTTTTCTTTTAGGATGAAGTTGAAGATTCCATGCGACCTTTTGGGGTTTAATATGCATATTACTGGTGAATTTAACAAATTTGAAAAATAATATTCAATAAAAGATGTGCAAAATCACTTCTGCCAATATTCTTGTTTATGTTCCATCGTTTTAAAGCAATAATTATATAATACTCCAACTGCATTTACTATTTTTATGAAGAACAAAGCGATTGTATTCAAAACAAAAGGAAATAAAGGCGAAAACTTATTTTTCTTCTGATTTCCTGATTGAAAATTAACACAAATGTGCCTCCGTAGTTAAATCCGACTTTTCAACAGGTTTAAAAAAGATCATCGTTTTGATTGGTTTGCACTAATTGATTGGTTGCCCGGATGATCGAAATTGAAAGTAAAGGACACGATTGACAGGTGCAGCATCGTTGGCATCTTCTCAAGTCAAGAGTTTCTGATCCGCTCCACTCCACATAAACCCTTGACCGAATAGGCTAAGTTTGACAGGGTTTACTGTAACGCCATCTAGTGAGATTACACATTTTGAACTCTACTAACCTCTGCTATTAGCCAATCAGAGTAAATGAACTCAACAGAGAATTCGAGATAATATTGGTAGTCGGTAATAAATTAAATGCCTCTCAACTAAAAAGCTGAAATAAACCTTTAACTGGGCTATTTAATGTTAAAGACGCTATCCTTGGGACTAAAACTGGCGTGTTTTTCTCTTTTCAATTTTGTTTCAGTTTAAATAAAATAATGATTTTGATTGGTTCATGCAAACTTACATGAGACCAATCGGAGAACGTATTTCTAACCCCGACAACTTAGCCTATTAGGTCAAGGGTTTATGTGGAGCGGAGCGGATCAGAAGATCTTGATTTGAGAAGATGCATCGTTGGAGAAGGAGAAAATTTTCTTTTAAAGTAAAAAACGGAGAAACATTGCACTTGTTCACATAAGCTACGTTTTTGTCAAATTTTTGAACGACTCTGCACAAAAAATTGCACATAGAATTTCTGATTTTTTCCAAACAGAACACTAATAAATATCTATATTTTATTCCACATGGTTTAAAATTACGTGCAATTCCACTCCACTCCATGAAATTAAACACAACCAATTTTGTCCCCCAAATGGTCAGTAAAATTCATTACCGATATGGTAGATTGTCTACCAAACGGGGGATAAAGGACCATTTGGTAGGTTGTGCCAACCTGTTAATGGGTTGTCCCATCACATACAAAAGGAGCATATATCAAAATAAAAACTTTACAGTAATCTTTATGACTACCTTGACTTTCCGTTTTAGATCATTATCATCTGCTACTTCATCTCCATTATCCTGAAACATCAAATAACACGTTAATGAAGTGATGAAAAATACACATGTGCAAAATTGTGAATGGATGAAACGAAAGTTAAAACAATTATAAATGTAAAGAAACTATAGAAAAAAATGTGTTTTGTAAATGTTTCCATATCGCTTGCTCCTTATAATGTTTAGCATTAATTATACTTTTTAAAGCCAAAGAACGGGAAGAAAAAGACTGAATTGCTATAGTAAGAAAACTGAGGAAATTCGAGAAAACACTCATACATTCAGACAAGATAGGTGACCATTCCTTCATCTGAGGCACAAACCTCCATTCAAAAGCAAAAATGTGTTTCTTACATCGTGTGTTCGATCATGTCTCGTATCCTCTTCGCTCTCGGCTTCGGAAATATTCTTTCGCCGTCGCCTTTCCGCCATTTTCTCAGTAAAACCCTGTGAGGTACCCCGTGTAACTGCAAGAGAATTCCGATCCCGATCCCTTTTTCGCAACATTGGCTTCATCTGTTAGGCCTAAACCATCCAGGGACCCTGAGTTGATACACTGCCTTTGAAACATTTGAAGTCTTTGTTACAGAGAAGAATATTATGTTTAAGTTTTTTCTTGAATACATATAGTTTGTTTCATCTTTTCCTTACTAATTGTTGAAGATATTGCTTTTTTTAAATTCTTATATATTTTATATATGTTTTTAAAAATTATTATTCATATTAAAATCACTGACTAGCTAACTTCATTATTCAGTCTCAAAAATTCCAAGGAAGGAACTTTTTCGAAAATTAGAAATCACACTTTTTTTTCAAAATTCGAGAACATCAAAAAGTATGACTTTTCTACACTTTATACAACCATTTCTCGAGATAAATTTAAAAAAGGCTTTGGAAATCAAAGACAACTGCTTCTTAAATAAAAATGGAAGTAGGAAATTGTTGTATCTTAAAGCTGTGATGGTCATCAACTATTAAAACAACTTTGAAACAAGATGTGTTTGTGAAACACTGATGCCCCCGTATAGCAGCTTATGGCGAATGTTGAATTCTCTAAAAAATTAAAAGATTGTCAAACTCCAAAGGTCAAGGTCATAAGGTCAAAAGTCTTGATACCAAAGGGAAGTTCTTGTTACAAGGAATACACCTGTGAAATATGAAAGCCCTGGTACTAACTGTTCAAAAGTTATGACCAAGGTTAAAGTTTTTAAAAAGTGGGTCAAACTCTTAGGTCAAGGTCAAAAATATTTATACCAGCTGAAAGGTCTTGTCACAATAGATATACATCTTAAGTATGAAGGCCCTATCTCCAACTATTCAAAAGTTATGGCCAAGGTTAAAGTATAATGGGTATTTTTTTGTAAAACTAGGTCAAACTCCAAGGTCAAGAAGTCACATTTGGCACCCAAAGAAAGGTCTTATCACAAGGAATACACCTATGCAATATGAAAACCATATCCACACCCACTAGATAGTTATGGGCAAGGTTAAAGTTGACAAAAGACAGACAGAAAACAGACAGACAAACAAGCAGACAGGACAAAAACAATTTACACCCGGGATCTTTCGATCCAGGGGCATAAAAAACTACGATTTTACACTGAAAAAATTAAAGGATGCCGGGAATTCCATATTGACAATACATGTATTTATGTAGTCTTCGAAAACCAGGTCTTTCAACAAACTGTTGGAATTCCGATAGGCATTAATTGTGCCCCAGTATTAGACGACCTGTATTTTATATTCCCACTAAGCAGGATTCATTCAGAAACCTCTACATGAGAATTCAATTCGACATTCATGCAGATATATCGACGACGTATAACAATTACATGTAACAGTATTATATCGACTCCATATATCCCAGTGAACTTGATATTAAAGAAACCCCAGAGTCTGCCATAGTGTATCTGTTTTTGGATGTTTTACTAGCTTATAAATGATAACGGCAAACTAACGACTCAACCGTTTGTAGATTTTTTAGACTAACTACTGTTCGCTATCTTCACCTCTTTTATATTTCAACTCGAGCTTGTAACTGTGTGTTTGTCGTCTTTTTTTCCTGCACGGAGGGGGGGGGGGGGTCTAATTTCTGTGTTTTAGTTAGATATTTGGACATCATCTCTTCAATGACAACTCAATCGTCTTTCCCTTTCCTCTCCTCTCCCCCTTTCCTCTAAGAGGACAGAATACAGAATTTAGCCAGAAGTCCTTCTTTTCTGTTATCCTGTGAATTCAAATGGAGGGAGTTTATCGTGATGCAGAGGGATACGTTATCATAACTACACTTTACCAGTTCATACATCAGATTGGGACATAGCCTATATACTTTATGTACATGAAATAGTTGTTCATTTGATGAGAACATAACATGAAGTATAGTGGTATCATGGCCATAGGATACTATAGAAAACATAGCTAGTATATGTTTGTATCCCCTCCAATAAAAACGTCTGTTTGAATTTTTTTTGGTAGTTGATAGCGTTGATGACTGACCCCCCCCCCCCCATGAAGTCGCTTCCTACGAGCTAGCCTGGAAATATTCATGCAAATTTTGTATATTTATATTACAGTCTGCTGCATCTGCACCAAGGTTCAAAATATAAAAGAGGTATCCCTTGTCTAATTTTTTTCATGTTGTAAACAGATTTTTACTTGTGGGGTCGGGGGGGGGGCGCGTTCATTCACGTTCTTTCTTTCTTATCGGTATCTATACAAAAAAAAATCCTTTTTAACAATTTATTTAAGATATAAGGCGCGGAAATTTTCTCCAAAATAAACATACTTTATTTTTTATCAGCAGGATTTGTATCATGAGACAAGTAGAACCCGGAAGAGAATTGGCTGAGTAACGATCTAACAATTTTGAATTGAATTTTCCTAAAAGAAATGAAAACCATTCTGCAAATCTTTTACTTTGAATGGACAGTAATTTATTTCGCCGCAGCGTACGGTAAATATTCTTCTTTTTTTTCGTTTTTATACATTCTGAATAGATATTTTCATCTGAAGTCTTTGAAAAGGAAATGTTTTATTCCAAAACGAGGTCAAAGTCATGCAGTTATATATGTAGATGCCTTCCCAAATTATTCATTGATGGGTATAGTTGTAATAATTCACATAAAATCGATAAGGCCATTTCAAAGTTTTGTCTTTGTTTAGCGTCCACAATTAATTTGAAAACTTATATTTCTATCCAAAAAAAAAAAAAAAAAAAAAAAGAAACAAAAAAAGAAAAAAATCGCACAGACCAAACGGGTAAAAACTAAATATTTTTTAAAGTTCAATTATAGTATTTCTCATCATCATTTGAAAATTCTGTTCGCAGTGTAACTTACTAAAAAAAAAATCATAAAAAATAAATATTGAGATTCCGATCCCAAAAGAGTAAACTAGCTTTCAAAGATCTGTATTTGTTAATTTTAATTTGTGTTTAATTTTATAATCTTAAAATCAATCCATCTGCGGACGCTAAAAATGAGAAAAAATTTGAATGACATTAAAAGTTAAGTTGATTATAAGATACCGGTATAAGAATGACGAGCTAAATCGTTCATACAGTATCTTTTAAAAGCGCTTTTATTCGATACGATGGAATTTGTGGAAATCGATCGCTTTGGTCGCAATTTCACACACACACACACACACACACACACACACACACACACACACACCCTTGCGTGTATCTCAATCTCCATAGATTTCCTCATCTGATATTTTCAGTTTACTTTTTAAAGATTTACCAGTTTCCAGGTTTAAGTACATCCTTTCTGATATACTTTTATTTTGAATAGCAAATAAAATGCTTACAACTTGACTATCTTAGTTGAAGTTAAGGGTCAAAGGTAACTGTATATTTCAAAGGGTTTATGTCAATCAAGAAAAGTTTAAATGATTCCCCTTTTTTAACATCGGCTAAATAAAAATTAAAACATTTTATCAGCAAGTGAAGTCATACTAAAAATTACGTAAATTTAACTGCTATACTCAAAATGTCAGTCATGGAAGATAAAAAAAACTATCAACAACTCATTATAGATGACCTGTCCTTCAGAAAGCCTACAAATCAGATCCATGGGTATGACGCCAGATATACAGTTGATGGAAACCACTCTACATGTATGGACACAGTGAATGGATTCCCAGTCACGTGGTATGTGGATTTAGAAGAGGTCAAAAGTATTGCCAAAATATGGATTTTCTACAAGGCGTCTGGTACGTTTGACAATTAATGTTGTAATTTTTGTATGTGCTGCTTATCTTACATTACGTATACCTTTATTTACATTTTATTGTAGTTACGTACAGTTTGCTTGCATACTGCACTGACCTGTGCTACTGTTGTTGTATCTTGTTTGCTATATTACTCTCCATTTGCAATGGAATTTTGCACAACTCCCTATATGGCTTCAGGAAGACCCATATTGATTTTGATGTCAAAACGTCAATGTCATACTAGTAAATCCAAAATTCTGCCTAGCTTTACACTTTCTTTCCCGTGCGATATCTCGAGAAGCCTATGAGCTTTATACATGTACCCCCCCCCCCCCCGGCCTGAGGAGGCCCCCTATTTATTTTGAGGTCAAAAGGTCGAAGATCAAGGACGTAAATTCATACATTCTGTGTGTGCGTGTAAA